CACGAATATAAACGTGGGATATTCTTTGGAAGCACAGGGACATAATAAAAATTAACTTAATTGCTAAATACAAAGTAACAATCAAGCATTAACACATGCTACAAAATAGACATATAAGATATGTAATAGTATACTCTCTCGGCCTCCGCTATCAGATGCACCCATTGATTAAATTGACATGGCCACATAGAAAAAAAAAATTAAGGCACAAAATCAGTAGCTTCCAACACAAGCTCGGTCCGACGACGAGCTGTGATCCCATACACTTCACTCATATCAAGCTTCTCCGGGTTCGCACCAGCAGGAAGCTTCCAGTCGAAGTGATAGAGAAGGCTCGCAAGAGCCATTTCGATGTTTGACACTCCAAACATCATACCGGGGCACATTCTCCGTCCAGCACCACCTGGGAGGAACCTGAAGTCTGTACCACCATAATCAACCTTTTCACCGTCAAACCTCTTGGGCATGAACTCACTCGCATCAGTCCAGCTCTTCTCATCCCTACCGATTGCTGACACATTCACGAATACAGTGGTGCCCTGTGGAATATCGCAGCCCATGACTTTTGTTTGCTCAATGCACAGCCTTGGCATGAGCAACGGCACCGGTGGATGCAACCTGAAGGTCTCCTTGATGACCATCGGTAGGTAGTGGAGCCGGCCGGCGATGTCAGCCTCAGTCACCTCGGTCTTCCCGTGGAGGACTCGTCGGACTTCGGACTGTGCGGCGGCCATTATGTGTGGGCTCCTCATCATCTCCGACATTGCCCAAATTGTTGTCGTGGCTGTCGTCTCCGATCCCGCAGCAAAAAGATCCTGGTGACACACACGGAAATATGTGAGACGAAAATATCATGTAGCAAGCAAAAGGTGGAAGCTAGCAGGTTTAAAATTTCAATAAAATTTACAAATTTCTGGTACTTATGGTAGGTAATGGAATATTTGTAACATTGAAATTTTGCACCATATTAAACAAATTTTAAGCCAAATTTTACATTAGGCAATTTCATCTGAATCAATTAGATTTCATCAAAATCCAATAGATTTTCCAAAATTCCTGTAAGATCCCAAAATAATCTGGTGCCAACTTTTTTTTGTTATATCAACTGTTCCAAAAAAAAATATCCTACAGAAATTTTAACGGAAAAGCTAACCGTTAACAGTTCAACGGGAGAGTGTGGCATTTTCTGGGAGGATAGCAGTTTTAGTTGTATCGGTGGGTAGTTTCTTCAGAACAACATGGAATTTTCTGGGAGGATAGCAGTATTAAGCCTTGACTCCAGAAAATGTCATCCTCTTGTGAAGTAACTGCCGCCCCAACCAACCAAAACTGCCATCAAAATGTTTGCAAATGCCACCCCTCCCAGTGGACGGTCGCCAGATAAGGGGGTCCAATTTTACACCATGGTAGCTAGTGGTGACTGGTGACTCACAAAGAGGACGCCGCTGATGTTTTCATCGGTGAGGGCGACGCCGCCAATCCCGCCGTCCCTCTGGAACCGGAGCAGAGTAGTGAGTATGTCCCCCCTCTGCTCACGTCTGGCATCATTGTCCTCCTCGTCCTCCATAGATGTTCTGTGATCGCTGATCATGGCGTCCATGATGGAGTGGATTCTCCGGTGCACCTCCCACGTCGCTCCGAGAGCCCGGCCACCGATAGCCTGGGCGAGGCGCGACGTCGGGAACAGGTCGATGAGGTTAAACCCGGACATCAGGTCCAGCACCCTGTCCAGCTCCCGCAGGTACGCGCCCCGCTGCGTGCACCTCTCGCCGACAGACGCCCTCATGACCACGTCGTTCATCATCACCTTTAGCATGTCACCAACATTGACGACGGGGCCGGCGTCAGCAACGGACCGCACGAGCCTCGCCGCCTCCTCCTCCCGGACACGGCGGAACGACCGCATGCGCCTCGGGCTCAGCAGCTCCACGGCGCAGAGCTTCCGGAGGGCCTTCCAGTGCCGGCTGTCATGGCGCGCGAAGGAGATATCCTCGCCGCCGTAGGTGAAGATGTCTGCCGTGGCGTACACGGGGCGGTCGGCAAAGGCGGCGTCGTGGACCTTCATGACCTCCCTGGCCGCCTCCGCAGAGGAGAGCACGAGTGTCGGGACGTACGTGGCCCAGGCGGAGAAGCATGACGGGGCCGTGCCCACGGGCGAGCCTGTGCACGGCCTGGTGCGTAATGGCGCCGAGCAGGAGGTGCATGTGGCCGATCACCAGCAGCGCCCATGGCCCAGGAGGCAGGTTCATGCTGCTAGCAGAGGCGGCTCGCCTGTGCTTGAGCTTGACGAGTATGGCCACGACAAGGATGCAGAGCAAAGTGTAGCACACGAGCTGGGTGCGTTGGGTTTCCGCCATTAGAGCTACCTCGATTATGGTCGTATGAGCTGAAGATTCAAGATGCGTTTATATAGGACGACAAGGAGTAAACAACGCAAGAGTCCATTGAGTACAGGCAATGGAAGTCCATAGGGAAGAGACGACCGTGGCTGACTGGCTGGCATATGACGCAGCTACATAGGGACAAGAGCTAAACAATGCAAGAATAGATCAAGCACGGGCAATGGAGATCCACAGGGAAGAGACTGTTAGAAGGGGGAGAGAGGATTGGTGGAATGATTGATGTATGGCTTGAGCCTCGTGGGCGTATAAATAGGAGTACATGATCTACTTGGAGTACAAGACAAGCCAGAATAGTTTCTAGTTTATCCTATGTTTTCTAATACAACCACGTTACTCAACAT